CTTGTAGTTTTCTTTTTTAACAGTTGTTTTGTATTATAGAATTTAATAACTAGTGTTTATGAGTTTCAAACTTTTAAATGATGATTTATGTTTTAATATGGACATTCTTGATATCACTTTGCCATTCCAGTTATATTTATTTTAATAGGTATTGTAATAAAGGAGTTGTCCAACCTTTGTGTACCTTTTTATATGAGAAAAAGTATGTACCTCCATTTCAATTGTACCAAAAAGGTACATAAGTTTCATAAGAGGTTTTTCTGTACCATATAAGGTGCCACTCTTACAAAGGTACAAAACTGTTCCTCATGGAACATTATTTGTAGCACTATGTACCTTTTTTTCTGAGAGTGTACAGAGATTATCATCCTGTTTTTTTTTGTTTTTTTCTCAGAAGAGCCTATATTCGGCTGCTTTGTTAAAATGGACACTTTCTGTTCTCTCTTAGGTGTCCAGCAACTCACTCTGCCTCCTCAGTCCTGTCTAAAAGAGTCTTCAGAGAGTCAAGAAAATCTCAAATCCTCCCTGAAAAAGTTAGCGTACTCATCCTCATGAACAAAAACTGCTGATGTATTTTTTGGGTAAAGATTTTCTGTAAAGATGTTACTCTTTACTCTTTATGAATGTATACAGTGGGAAAAATAAGTATTGAACATGTCATGTTTTTCTTTTTTCCTGGTTATATTGTTTCTAAAGAAGCTATTGACATGAAATTAAACCAAATCTGATCTTTATTTTGTGTTTTCTATTGGGTTGAAGTCAGGTGATTGAACGGGCCATTCTACAGCTTAAGATGATGTTGGACTGAAGCTGCTAATATTCATTTACACTGAGGAAGAGTTGATGAACTACTGAAAATTTTCAGCTGTTGTCTGGGCTTTCACTGCCTATCTACACCTTCCTTTATTCATGTGTTCAATATTTTTCCCTGTGTCATTTTATTACACACAACTTAATTTATAAATTCATTATTTTTTTCTAATTGATTTGGTTGTTACCAACATCTGGTGAAAATTTCAAGTCAGCAGAACGTTTAGAAATATGTTTTCTGAGAAAAATGTTGACGTGTATACGTGTATAGTATTAAATTTCTCTTGATTTCTATTGTGTAATCTTATACTTTAGATTCTTTTATAATTGTTTTTAATTGCTGGCCAAATGTATTTTTGAATGTATCAATTGAAGAACAAAACCACTTTGATTGAAGTATAGCCTACCGGGACCTTTAATATGGTGCATTTTTGAAAGGTTAGGACCAGTTTACATTCAGCACAATTGACAAATTGTTTGGGGCTGCTAGAAATGTCACTACACTCACACATTGGTAATCCTTCTATACCTTTTACATCACACATATTTTCTAACACACCCTCGGGTATTGTGCTTAGTCATCATTCTTTCCCAGAAATCCAGGTCTTTTACCAAAGTGATACCGAAGACTGCCTTAATAACTGTAGGGCTGTATTAGTACAAACTCTTTACCCCTGGAAGATTTTACCTTTCTTACCAAAGCAGAACCACAGTTCTGTTTATTGTGGGATGTTTATTGCCATACATTTGAGACAAACCACATAGCAGGACAAACACGCATACAAAATTATTATGTAAAATCCCTGTTCATTGCTATTATTGGAAGTTTTAAATGATGCCTGCCATCACAAAATCATTCATCATACAAAAAAAACTTCTATCAACTTTTCATTTAGGGTTTTTTTTTTTTTTTCCTGAAGACCGATCACTTACATGTTCCTCTCCATCTTGCATGTCCGGCAAGGCTTTTATTCTGTTCCTCAGCAAGAAAGTCAGCTTCCTCATTCTCTTCTGGCACACAATCCTTCTGCGTAAACATGAACTGCACGTTAACAACTCGTGCTAGAACAACAACACTTAGCACTTAAAAAGACTGCACTCAGCAGATGCATGTGTAGTTAACTAGGCCACAATGTGTACTGACGAAAATAGTGAAAAGACTACAGTATATTATGAAGCACTACTAAATGACCCATTTGCCCATTTATGGATTTGTAATATTTGAAATATTCATTCATTCATTTTCTTGTCGGCTTAGTCCCCTATTAATCCGGGGTCGCCACAGCGGAAGTTTTGTTTACGCAGCGGATGCCCTTCCAGCCACAACCCATCTCTGGGAAACATCCACACACACATTTACACACTACAGACAATTTAGCCTACCCAATTCACCTGTAACACATGTCTTTGGACTGTGGGGGAAACCAGAGAACCCGGACGAAACCCACGCGAAGGCAGAGAGAACACCAACTGAGCCGAGGTTCGAACCAGCAACCTTCTTGCTGTGAGGCGACAGCACTACCTACTGCGCCACTGCCTTGCCATATTTGAAATATTCTGTTGGATAATTCACTACTTTTCTTTCTTGTGTTACTTGTAGCCAGACCATCAAGCATAAACCAGACCATCAGGTAAAGGTCTAGAAACCATTGCTGCTTTAAAGGGCACCAATCATGTTTGGACAGATGTGTGTAGTGTTGACAACTGAATATGCAATCTTTCTACAAAATCCGTAAATTGGCTTTTGTTTCTATATTTTATGATTCATGTTTATTTGTTTGCCATCACCAGGTTGGAGGAAAGTCCTTACCCCAGGTAGAGGAGTTGAAGTATCTTGGGGTTTTGTTCACGAGTGAGGAAAGGATGTAACGTGAGATTGACTGGCGGATTGGTGCTGCGGCAGCAGTAATGCGGTCAATGTACTGGTCCGTTTTGGTGAAGAAGGAGCTGAGTCGAAAGGCAAAGCTCTCGATATACTGGTCAATCTACGTTCCTACTCTCACTTATAGTCATGAGCTTTGTGTCATGACCGAAAGGACAAGATCTTGGATACAAGCGTCCGAAATGAGTTTCCTTCAAAGGTTGGCAGGGCGCACTCTTATGGATAGGGTGAGGAGCTCTGACACTCGGGAGGAGCTCGGAGTAGAGCCAAAGCTCCTCCACATTGAGAGGAGTCAGCAGAGGTGGCACGGGCATCTGTTTCGATGCCTCCTGGACGCCTACCTAGGGAGGTGTTCCAGGCATGTCCAACCTGGAGGGGGCTTCGGGGAAGACTCAGGACACGCTGGAGGGACTATATCTTTCGGCTGGCCTGGGAATGCCTTGGAATTCCACCGGAGGAGCCAGAGGAAGTATCTGGGAAGAGGGAAGTCTGGGGTTCTCTCCTAAGACCCCCGCCACCCGGCCACAGAAAAGCGGCAAAAAATGAAGGAATTAATTAATGTTTTTATTGTTTTTTTTTGTTTTTGTTTTTTTCAGTTTATTTATGCTTTTGCTTTATGGAACCTTGATCTTTCTTCCAACAACTTTTATCCTAGGAAAGTTGCAAAAAGTGACTTTTATGAACATTTTTAATAGTTTAAAGTGATATATTGTCTGGGTTTGTGTTTTATATTACGCTACAAAAACCTTAATAAACTGCCAATACATTTTTACTGCTCTTTGTGTTATTATTTATAGATGATATAAATTCTAACTAAGTACACCCCTCAGAAATCTATCATTTAAATTTATATTTTTAATAGGAAGCTATATACAATATTATATTTGTGTATATACATTAGATTAGTTAGTACTGAAGCCAAATTTGGAGCTCATCTAACAAAAAAAAAACTTTACGATAACAGTCTAAAAGCTAGTACATGCAAATTTACATGTACTAGAAAATTATTAAATACAAATTTTAAAAAGAGGATGAATCAAGAGAAGCAAACCATTTTTGAAAAAATTTGCTGAAATTTTGTAGGTTGTAATTTTTTTTTTTGCAATACTTTGCTTGAATGTAATTGTATTATCTTTCAATTTCTAAAGATGTTTGGTGACTAAAATATAATTTTAATAAATATATCTGTTTAATAAATCTGCTTTGTTCAAATCCACCAAAATACAAAGCCTATATTCACTGAAAATGGATAAAAATATTATTTTTCAAAATGGGGTGTACTCAATTATGCTAAGCACTGTAGGATAAAATCTTCCAACATATATCTCACAGGACAGGACTCTCATGAACTCATGGAATGTATTGACACTGAAGAGAAGAAACTGTTGAATAAAGTTATTATTTGTGTTTTATGTGCACACAGAAGTATATTGGTTGCTTGATAAAGTTCAGATTAAACCACTGAAGGCATTTTGGTACTTTTCTCTCAATGGAGAATGATGGTGCAGTCAGATCACTTCTAAAATATCTTAATTTGTACTATAAAGATGAATGATCTCAGGTATCTGGAACAAAATGAGAGCAAGTAATTAAAGGTTCACGAAAACCTTGAGTACTTTTTTGAGATTTTAACAGATTTGTGTGTGTTGAGCATCAGTTAAGACAATGTTAGCACCTGTCAGCTTTAATTGTGGGGCAAACTGGATAATTTGGAGCTTTTGTCAGCTAATTTCAGCTTCTGGGTTTAAAATGATTTTTGGGGCGGGATCAAAATCGGTGTCGTATCGCAGAACTGCAAGTGCAAAGATGACGTGTCGGTTTCTCATTATTATTCATAGCGGAGTTTTCTCATCCTATGAGAAGAGCCGGCTGCTTAATTATCCATGACTGCACGTGCTTTCCGAAGGCAAAGCAGACCCACGGTACACAATATTTAGCCGTTCATAAAGGGTCGTATATGTTTGTTTCCATGATCCACGGGGTTTGTTGCATGTTTTTCCCTGCGATCTTGTCAGGGCCGATACAGCAAAGTTTTTTGTGTGCAATAAGCATTTTTGTCAGGAGAGCAGTACAAAAATTGGAGAATGGCGGACGTTGTCCTTTATCAGAAGTTCGTTCACATTTAGACAAATCGACGTGCTGCTGTGTTTGCATAAATCCTCCAGATTACCAGCAGGTCTAATGGTTAAAACAGACGAGGCAAGAGACCTGCTGCACTGTCGAGTTCTTATGGGTTACACACACCAGTATCTGCTTCTAACTCGAAAGAGCTTCAGCCAATAACAGGGGACACAGGGAACAACTCCAAGGCTTTTCAGCTTTTGTATTTTAACTTTCAGTTTGCCCAATAATACAATACTGTAGCGCTTGAACAGTAGTAGCGATACCAGTAGCAGCGATAGCAATAGGTTGATAACCTTAGAAAAGGAACAAAATATATAAAATATACATTATTCGCAATACTGACTTAAACAAACACAATGTAATATAAATAAAGACAGTTCCTTCACAAATTTTGTCTCAGCATTATTAATTTGCATATTAAAATAATACTTCTTAATATTAATGCAAGCATTTCACTTTACATAAACTATTTACATAAATGAACAGCATGATTAACTTAATATTGTGCACAAAGTATTATAATGCACAAAATAATGAACTACAGTGCAACAAAATAGTAGCTGTCTTTTATATTGCACATATATTATGAATAAGGCAATGCATGTGGCAGTCCTTGTAATTAGAAATAGTCAATTCTCATACCATCAGTGTCCCTGAGATGACCAAGTGCTGATGTGCCTTCCCTTCCTTACACACTGCAGCTTAAAACTTTCTGCATGCAATCGTGAAAGTTTATTAATGCAGCGATCGCGTTCTTCAGCTTTCACAGCGCGTCTGCATGCATGCACTTGCCATGTGAGTTTTTTTTCTTTCCGCATTCACTCGGCACTTCCCGTATCTCCTCGGCACTTCCCGTATCTCCTCGGCAAGTTCCGTATCTCCTCGGCAAGCTCCGTCAGCCAACTGCTTCCGCCAAACACTTTCAGTTTCGTTAGTTCCGCCTAATTCCTCCATGCATTGATTCGTATGAAGTCCAAATTCGCGATTTGACTTTACACCTCCCACTTGAACTACTGGTTCTTTGAACCCAAGTTGTTCACAGAATTTAGTGCGTGTTTAGTGCTGTTCCTCTATAGGTATTAAGACAACTAAACGTCTTACGTCTCTGTGGAGGATAGTTGCAGGGATTCTGTCAGTCAACTTTTTGGTTGTGACTTTGGCTTTAGCAGGCTTTACGTTTGAGACTGGGTAGCTTGTGAAGACTTTAACATTCACATCTCTGACAATACCTTTGTCATCAGCATTGACTTGGATGACTCTGGCCAACTTGTACTGACTCCTCAGTGCATTTTGGTCTGCTAACCAGACGACATCTCCAACAGCAACATTTCTTTCCTTGGTGTGCCATTTGTTTCTTACAAACAAGTTTGGCCCTGCTAACTGACTCCATTTCCTCCAGAATTTGTTAACTTCTCCTTGGATGACTTTTAATCTTTTATAAGGATAGCCAACAAAATCAAAGTCACCTGGGTCTCCCTTTGGTCCAGATCTTCCTAACAGGAGAGAGTTGGGATTGACATATTCTACACAATCCTCTCTGCTCTGCGTCCTTGCATCAATAGGCCTCTCATTAGCCAGGTTAGCTGCCATATAAAGGAATGTTTGAAATTCGCTCCAAGTGAAAACACCATCACCTCCCAAGTTGTGAAGGGCTCGCTTTACTATGCGAACAGCGGCCTCTGCTGCTCCGTTCCTGTGAGGAGAACTTGCAGGATGGATCTTCCAAACCCATTCAGTTCCGTGTTTAGTAGCTTCTGCCTCTAGCTCAGATGTTTCTAACTTGTCCAGGAACTTGTAAAGTTCTGTGAGAGCAGGTTTAACTCCGATAAAATTTGAGCCGGGGTCGGACCATAATTTTCTTGGATGACCCCTCAAAGCCGTGAATCTTTGGTAGGCTAGCATAAACCCTTCAGCAGATTGGTCACTCACAATGTCAGTGTGTATCGCTCTAGATGCCATACAGCAGTAAACGATTCCCCAAACTTTGAGATGTACTCGCTTCCTCACTTCATCCTTTACTATGTATGGTCCAAACAGGTCTAAAGTTGTGTATTCAAAGGGTGCTGCTGGTTCTGTCCTTTCAGGAGGAAGGTCTGCCATGATTTGCTCACATCTCTTTGCTCTTGCCTTCCTGCAGATCACACAGCTGTCTACAACTTTCTTGGCTAGTCTCCGACCTTTAATCACCCACGCTTTTTTCCTCATTCTTAGAAGTGTCCCTGCTACCTCCTCATGATTTGCACTGTGGGCTTCTCGGGCTAATAACATGGACACCCATGCACTACAAGGTAATATTGGGACTGCAATCTTTTCTTCATTAAAGATCTGTATTCTTCCACCACAAACCAAGAGTCCTGAATTTTCTCTATACACAGCCAGTCTGCTAAGTGTAGTGTCGGGAAAAGTCACACCCTGTTGAGCAGCTAGAAAGAGTTCTTTCAGAATATACTCTTCCTCTTTCACAGTCAGCATGGTTTGTTTGATCTTGTTTTGCAACACTTCTTTTCTTTTTCTCTCATTTGAGTCCTGATCCCTGAATCCTAGCCACTTCTTTACAGCACGCCAAACCCAGCCGATGACTCTGACTAGCTTGGTTAAATTGCTGTATTTTTCCTCATCCACTAGTTTCTTAATAATTAAGTCACGAGGTGTTCCTTTTGGTAAGTTTGGTCTTTTTCCATTTTCACCAGAGTCAGAAACAACATTGATTGAATCACCAAGGATTGAAACTTCAGGAATTCCTTTACCTGCTTCTGCCAGGTCCCTCTTTGTTTGAGATCTTGTCAGAACTGCTGAGAATGTTTTCCGTTGAAGTTTGTTAACATTCTCCTTGGCATCAGCAGCAACCTCAGCAGCTGATTTCTTTGGCCACTCCTCTACTGAATATCTGAGGAATTGTGGTCCCTCCTGCCATTCGGACTTTTCAGCAAGATCTTCAGGAGTGCCTCCTCTAGTAATGATGTCAGCGATATTGACATCCCCTGGTATCCACCACCAGTCACTTACTGATCCAGACTTTTGGATTTCTCCAACTCTATTTGCAAAGAAAGTTTGGTAGCCATAGCTATCACGTTGAATGGCCCCCAGCACCGTTTGACTGTCTACCAGGTGAAACCAGCGCTCCACTTCCATCCGCCCATGCTTTTCAAAGTACTTCCTGAGTCGTGCAGCGAAAACTGCACCGCAGATTTCAGCCTTCACAGCATCTCCTTTCTGGTCTAGTGGTGTTAGTTTTGCTTTAGATTCAACTAGTCTGACGTCTATCCCCTGGTCTGTATTCCATCTTAGGTACAATACAGCTCCATATGTTTTATCACTACCATCTGAGAAAGTGATTCCCCAGGGTTTTCCTTTCCAGCCAGGAGGTGTAAGACTTCTGTGGAACTTGACCTGATTAAGCTGCACATATTCCTCAAATAATCTGATAGCTTCTTCCCTGAGGTTTTCAGAAAGTGGCATGTCCCATGTCTCACGGGTTAGACTCCCCTTTCCTATCTCTTGGAAAGCTTTCCTGACAAGAATTGCACCCTTCTGTTTGGCAGGAGTGACAAGACCAACTGGGTCATAGAGGCCAGCAACTTGGCTTAACAGGTGCCTTCTGGTCAAAGGGTTTGGTGTTCTCAATCTCACCTCACTTTTTAAGAGGTTCTGACCCGTTCTCATTTTCTTCTTTCTTACTGAGAAATTAATGGAAGCCATGATGTACAGCTTATCCTCCTCTACCAAGTACCCTTTGCCCAAAGCCTTGTTGTCTTCATCTCGTAGCTGGTTTGGTAGTATGATTGTTTTAGATTGAGAGACTGATTCTTTTGGAACTTGACTTGGATCAACCACTTCATTCCTCCCACTTTGCTCCGACCGAACCCATGGTTTCAGTGCAAATCCGCCAGCTGCTAGAATCTCCTCTAGCCCATTTGTTATCTCTTTCAGTCTCTCCTGGCTATTATGGGATGTAAGGATGTCATCCACATAACTGTCCTCCTCAAGGACTCTGCACTCTTCTTTTAAATGAGCAAACTTTGCCAGCCTAGCTGTCTCACGCATAGCTAACTGTGCAATGCATCCAGCAGGACGATCTCCAATGTTAACTCTAGTGATAGCGTACTCACTTATTTCTTCGTCTTGAGTGTCTCTCCAGAGAAATCTGTGAAGATGAACCTCACGCTCTTCCAGCCACACTGAATTGTACATCTTTTTTATGTCTCCAAGAGCAGCAAATACTCCCTTCCTGAATCTTAGCAAGACAGCTCTGATTGGGTTGAGTACATCTGGTCCTTTTAACAGAAGATCATTCATGCTTAGCCCTTTGAATTTCTGACTACTGTTCCAGACAAGTCGCACTGGAGTGGTAGTTGAATGCGGATTTGGTGCTACCAGGTGACTAACATACCAAACAGGTCCCTTCCATTCCTCAATTACTTGTTTAGTAAGCTTTGTTGCTGCACCCCTTTTCACCATGTCATGGACTTGAGCTGCATAAATGTCCTGCCATTCTGGTACCTTTTTCAGTTGCTTTTCTGTTCTGAGGAAAGCAGCTTCTACTCCACTTCTGTTGTAAGGAAGTGTAGCTGGGTCCTGAATCCATGGATACTTTGTATCCCAGTGTGGAGCTGTGCTGTGGGTATCCATTTCAACATATGTGAGACCCTCTCTTATAATCTCTAGTTCTCTTTCTTTTGCTAGGGTCATCTCCTTCCCTCCAGGCTGACAGTTTCCACAGCGACATCCTCCACATTTTGGCTCACAAGCTGTGCCAATACTATCCCATTTCCACCAGTCAATAAACTCTCTGTTGCTTGCTAGTGAACTTCTTGGGCTCTTTCCTTCTTTGACAATATCAGTAATTGCTGGTCTTTCTGCTTTTTCTATGATTTCTTCATACCTGGCTGCAGCTGTTCTCATGGACCGAGCAAAATGTGTTTTGGACTCGTATGCAGCCATATCCACCACTTCAAACAAATCAGGGTGTGCTCCAGCCACTGTTTTCCCCAGCGGGCTGTCCCACAGGACAAGATCCCCAACAATCTTCACTCTTTGTGGAGCGAGTCTGCCCTCTCGGTGACTGATGAGGAGATCTATTTTTCCTGGTCTTTTCAGTTCTTCTAATTCCACCTCTGGAAAGAATTCTCTAAGTTTCTCTTGACTTACGATTCTATGAACTTTGGCAATTTCTTCCAAACCATAGCAGATCAACTGATGAGCCTTCACTGTCCCCTCAGGAGTTTTGACTCTAATCCTGAGAAGGTATCTATTTGTGCTTACTCTGATCGCCATCTTGCCAACTCCATGAACCACTAGAGTGATTTTTTCACCTCTCAGCTTAAGTCTTTCAGCAGCTTCATGGGTGATATAGTTTGTATCAGAAGCCAGATCTATCAAAGCGCCAATCTTCTGTCCTGCATTCGTGGTTACTTCCATCAGCATCATGATAACAGGAAGCTCCTTTAATCCACTATTACTGACCAATCCCTGCTGGTCATTTCCTGAGCAGTTTATCATCTTAACTTTGTTGGTGAATGCTTTTTTGCACTTCTCAGCCAATTCTGGAGAAAGTTCAGCCAGGAAATGTTCCTGCTCTGCAGTCAATCCACTTCCTTTTCTACTATCTTTACTGATGGTTTTCCCTTCATTCAGGTTCTTGAGGTCCCATTTTGGACAGAGGAAGTAATGGTGGTCTGAGAAGTCTCCTTTTTTGCAATCTTTGTTTCTGCAAAGGTAGTTATCACTGCACCTGCTGTCATCCTCATGAACTCCCAAGCACTTTTTGCATGCTCCTAGTTTCCTGATGATAGATTTCTTCTCTGTCAGCTTCAAGTCTTTAAATTTTCTGCAGAAGAAAATCCTGTCTCTATGTTTCTCTGCCCCACACACGATGCAACCAGCTTCTGTGGAGTCTTTCTTTGTCGTTCTAGTAAAAGCGTAATTCTTTTCAAATTTTCTTTCTGGCTTTTCCACTCTTTCTGAGATCCTAAGTTGTTCCAGCCTTTCAAGCACATCTTCCTGTTTCTGAAGGAATTGTAACAGCTCATCAAAGTGTTTGTCTGGTGTGATGTTATTTGCAGGATCTGTCATATATACGAGCCATTCTCTTTTTAAGAGTTCAGGTAACTTGCTTTCGATGGATTTTATCACAAGAGGATTCTTCATTGCTCCAACGTTTCCAAGATCTGTGAGATCAGCCAAGGCTTTTTCCACCATTTGGATTAATTCTATTACCCTTCTTGGTTGGTTTCCTCTCAAAGCTGGCATTTTCTCTAGTTCCTCTACAATTTCCATGGCAATTGTAATTTTGTTACCGTATCGGTTGTCTAACACCCTGAATATGTCATCAGCAGTGTTGTAGGAAGACAATCTGAGCTCTTTTGCGATTCTGTCATCCACGCTATCCACTAACTGAATCTTTTTCACTTCAACAGACCCAGTGGGCTCACCTTGCTTCTGGAGATTTTCCCAGTCTCTCTTCCAACGATAGTAATCTCTCTTATTACCAGTGAATTTAGGTAGACTTGTTGGTTTAATTTTTACCACTGGTATGATCTGTCCTGCAGGTACCATTATGTTTGGATTGTTTGTCATACTCGTGTCTAATGCTTGTGTATCTTCAGCAGCTCTTCGGGCCCAAGCGAATTCAGCTTTTCTTGATTCAAGCTCATTGCTACACTCTTTCAGTTTGCGAACATGACTTTCAAGATCCTTTCTCTCAGGTGCTGGAATCCATCTTTCCCATTTTAGCAAAGTTACAGTTGCCTCTTTCACCAGTCTCATTGAGAGCTCCAGTTGCACTTCATAACTTTCATATCCAGTGCCATCAACAGGCATAGCGGCTGTGCGATCGCAGGCTTTTTCAGCTGCTGAAATTGTGGTTAACACATCACTTTGTCCATATCTTTGCCAGAGATTATCTTGTACTATCTCAGTTACTTCGTCAAACTTTGCATTACATTCTTCCACAGCTTTCTTAAAGTCAGCTTCTTGCTGTGCTGAAAGTTGTACCTCTGCACCATCTTCTGTAGCTTCAATCTCTGCTATTAATCCAGCTTTATAGTCATCATTAGTTTCAAACACTTTTCTTGCTCCAGAAGAAAGCTTTTTAAATTCTTCTTTTAGCTCTGATTCTATAAGTCGGTGTGCTTCTCTACAGAGAAAGTTAGCTTGTTTGGTAAAGCTACTTTTTGCAGTGGTTCTTTCCTTTTTTAGCTGTTTAACTGATTTTCCTAATGCTTCCTCAGCCATTTTCCTTGAATTTTTCTTTCACTTGGTGTCAGCAGAACTTTGTCTTTGGACGTCACAAAGCCGTTGATCTTTATGTCCAGCTGCTACACTCTTGGTTATCAACTGTCGAGTTCTTATGGGTTACACACACCAGTATCTGCTTCTAACTCGAAAGAGCTTCAGCCAATAACAGGGGACACAGGGAACAACTCCAAGGCTTTTCAGCTTTTGTATTTTAACTTTCAGTTTGCCCAATAATACAATACTGTAGCGCTTGAACAGTAGTAGCGATACCAGTAGCAGCGATAGCAATAGGTTGATAACCTTAGAAAAGGAACAAAATATATAAAATATACATTATTCGCAATACTGACTTAAACAAACACAATGTAATATAAATAAAGACAGTTCCTTCACAAATTTTGTCTCAGCATTATTAATTTGCATATTAAAATAATACTTCTTAATATTAATGCAAGCATTTCACTTTACATAAACTATTTACATAAATGAACAGCATGATTAACTTAATATTGTGCACAAAGTATTATAATGCACAAAATAATGAACTACAGTGCAACAAAATAGTAGCTGTCTTTTATATTGCACATATATTATGAATAAGGCAATGCATGTGGCAGTCCTTGTAATTAGAAATAGTCAATTCTCATACCATCAGTGTCCCTGAGATGACCAAGTGCTGATGTGCCTTCCCTTCCTTACACACTGCAGCTTAAAACTTTCTGCATGCAATCGTGAAAGTTTATTAATGCAGCGATCGCGTTCTTCAGCTTTCACAGCGCGTCTGCATGCATGCACTTGCCATGTGAGTTTTTTTTCTTTCCGCATTCACTCGGCACTTCCCGTATCTCCTCGGCACTTCCCGTATCTCCTCGGCAAGTTCCGTATCTCCTCGGCAAGCTCCGTCAGCCAATTGCTTCCGCCAAACACTTTCAGTTTCGTTAGTTCCGCCTAATTCCTCCATGCATTGATTCGTATGAAGTCCAAATTCGCGATTTGACTTTACATGCACTGAGTCTGCATTCAGACCCGGAGATTAAGGGAAAAGTCCTCATTTATAGTGTTTCTATGAACAGGATTATCTTTACAATCATATAAATTGTGGTTATGTGTTTATGAAATTACAAATAACAAATGTAGCAGGGCAATAAATTACTGTTTATTTCTTTGCATTTTAACTTTGTAAACTATGAGGCCTTACTTACAGTATGTACAGTTGCCTTGAACCGGGCCAAAGCACGCTTGTCACCTGACGGCCCGCACTTACATTACATTCGGGCCTGGGCACGATTATGTCATTGATGCTGCGCTGTTCATTTATCGCTCTCGCTCAGCACAGTGGACATTTCTTTTGTTATATCGTTTGGGATGCGGTGACACGCAGTCAAATATTTCGCCGAACAGATCCGCCACTTTTGGCGCTCATAAACAACCATAAAGTCCTCTTGCTGCAGGAATTAGGAGTTCGCTTGAAGGTGTGCAGCTGTTGTGCAATGAGGGGTTTGCGTCTTTATTTATTTATGATAGTTTGTGTTAGGCGAGGCAGTGGTGCATTAGGTAGTGCTGTCGCCTTATAGCAAGAAGGTCGCTGGTTCGAACCTCGGCTCAGTTGGTGTTTCTGTGTGGAGTTTGCATGTTCTCTTTGCCTTCGCGTGGGTTTCCTCCGGGTTCTCCAGTTTCCCCCACAGTCCAAAGACATGTGGTACAGGTTAATTAGGTAGGCTAAATTGTCCGTAGTGTATGAGTGTGTGTGTGAATGTGTGTGTGGATGTTTCCCATAGATGGGTTGCGGCTGGAAGGGCATCCGCTGCCTAAAAACCAGCTGGATAAGTTGGCGGTTCATTCTGCTGTGGCAACCCCGCACTAATAAAGGGACTAAGCTGACAAGAAAATAAATGAATGAACGATAGTTTGCATTCATTTAACACTAAGAATTATTAATAAATCCATATGAAACAGTCCCTTAAAAGACATGTCTCACTTTCAGTTTTGAGTGTGAGTGCGCTGAATTGAGCTCAGGCACGGTTCACTTGGCCGGCCCTGGCTCAGTTGGAAGAGGTGTGCCTGAGCTCAATTCAGCGCACTCACACTTCTCAAACGATCCGGGAAACGGATAGCATAGTGTGAGTACACCCTAAAATCATGCGTCTCCTCATGGTTTGGGCCTCATTTTGTGAGCCGAGTGACAACAGTTGTTTGCTCCCCTCCTTCTCCCCTGCTCTGCTGGCCACGCCCACTCCTGTCCTTTGCTCGCGGAGCTCCACGCCCATTATGATGCATCTTTTGAAAAAAAATCTGAGGTGGACCTGAACCGAAAGTGGGGGGTGTCATGACCCTTTAATAACTAGTGCTGTCGATCAATTAAAAAATAACTAAGTAATCACTTTTTGCAATTAATTGTGATGAATCGCAATAAAACAACTGAAACTTGTAATTTTGGCTATTCAAATGTAAATTCATGTAAACTCAAGACAAAGAAACTATTTCAAGAGTTCACACTTAGATATTGCTTGACAGCTGTTAGCAGGTTTGGCATGCTGTCCTGGGAGAGAACCGTGAGCTCGGTGTTAGTTGAGCCCAGGGCTCCCGCCAGGTCTATAGAGCATGTGAGGGGAGTACGAGATCAGGTGGTTCTCGAGAGATCCTCTTTTGAAAAGGAGGAAAGGAGGAGAAAGAGGTGGATGGGGAGGTTTCTTCGGAAAACGAAGATAAGGGAGTAAATCTAGCTAGGCTATAGTGAGTTAGGATAGATCTGATTGGCTAACTAATGAGTGTAGATGGGAGGCCAGCTGCAGCAATTATATCACCTGCTCCTCTCAAAATTAGTTTAAAAACTTCACTTAAATTCAAAATATGATTGTTTATTAGAATTTTTGTTTAACTTGTAACACAGATTTCTTAATGTAAACAACATACCTGCAATAAACCATCAAGATCCTCAACCAGTTGGCTTGAAAGCCATATTTATTACAGAAATAAAAACACAGGCTGGTAAGTGCTATGTGAGTTTCAAAACAATCAATGGCAATAAAAAACAAAAATGATTGTTGAATTCTAAGTGAACTTCAAAACAAAAACAAACAAAAAAAAACATAATACAGGCATAGCAAATATGAAATTGGAAAATTTGAATAATAAAGTAATGAATACAAACAATACTCATTAAAAAGTTGTAATACTTAGAGTTGAGAACATTAATTCATAGATATATACACTAGATATTGCATGTGGCCCTGAGCATGCATCAATACCGCCGCCACATTTGTACAGGGCTCCCAGGACAAAAGTCATTCAACTGCGCTAGTCAAGAATATGAAGATGCTAGACTTTAGAGCTGTATACGGGAGTAATAATGGGCAAACAAAGAAAACAAAGCATAAAGGCAAAACCTTTCATAAATCAGATTTCGTTTTTTTACGTTTTTGTATGTTATGAACTTTTGTGCTCAACAAGTAATGTTATTGATGATGATAATACAGTCACTTACTGCACTGACCATAAGGCAAAAGAACACCAACGTGCACTAAATACTAAGCTTATGCTAGTTTTGCTGAATAAAATAAGCAAGCAATGTAAATGAAATATGACAACAAGACGCTGTGGTGCCAGAAACTTGTATTATTGTCGGCTGAGTGAAGGAGTCATTCATAACGGAGATACTTTCACAAACAAATCGCTCCCTCTGTTAGAATTAGAAGTGAAAGCAGGAGAGGGAGTGTGTTTCAGGACACGGATTAGATCAAATTTAACAGGGAGGAAGGATAACACATTTCCATGCACACAAACACAGTCTTTGTCAACAATGCTCGTGCGATCACTTATCTATCGATGTAGAAAAGTTATGTAAAATGATAATTTTCGTAATTTAAACACAATATTTGCATACTGACCACCGGGAAAACTCCCGATCATAGATATATGTATATATGTGTGTATATTTATCTATGGCTCTGGATGACCAGTCCTCCACTACACCTTGGTCCCACGTTCATTTCAAAGGAGCGCTACCCTGAACTAAAATGGCAGCTCTATTGATGCATTCCTTCTGATAGACAACAACAGCATAGGCGACATCTAATGTATATATCTTTGACATTTATTATAAAGTAGAAACAATTTTGCTTAGTCCTCCTTTACATTCAGCCAGTTCCTGAGACAGACCAGTCTGTCCTGCTGAAAAATCCAGCTTAAACCAGCCTAGGCTGGTTTAAGCTGTTTTTTTTGGTAGGGTGTTTACATCAGTGATCACCAAACTTGTTCCTGGAGGGCCGGTGTCCTTCAGATTTTAGCTCCAACCCTAATCAGCACCCGAACCAGCTAATCAAGGTCTTAAGCTGCAGTTACACTAGGCTTTTCCTCCCATAGACATCCATTCATACGCACACGAATACGTCTGACTGGAAACGCAGTGTCATGCGTTAAGTTTCGCAGGTTGCTGCGGTGCAAAGTTCAAGCTTGGTGAACTCTGACCTACGAAATCGCATCACTTGACTGCGTGAGACCAATCAAGGATCAAAACATGATCTCTCTGGACAGAAATTTAAAACATGAAGCAATCGCTTGCTTTTTTAAATGTCTAATAAGCTTGTTTAATCCCGCCCCTTTTCGCAGCACCGTACGACAGAATTTCGCACAAACAAACTCTAGTGTGACCTCAGCTTTACTAGGTATACTTAAAACACCCAGGCAGGTGTTTCAAAATCTCAAAATCAAAATCACAATAATTAATAGTATTATCAATGTAATATCTGAGACCAAAAACATCATCAAAGGTTTGTTCCTCATGTCATATAAACCAAATGTCACCACATAGTAAATACACTTAGCCAATCAAAAACAAAATAAAAATTTTACTATTGACCTTTAGTATTTTTTTCGTTATTATTATAGCCAAACTAAAAGAAACAAGACTTTCTCCAGAAGTAACATTTAATAGGAAATATTGTGAACAATATTCAAGAAAAAAAAATTCTTTTCCCAGGAAGGGTAACAATTTTGTCTTCAAGGCAAGGCAAGTTTATTTATATTGCACATTTCATACACAGTGGCATCAAAGTGCTTTACATAAACAGCAATAAAAGAGACAAGAATAAGAAAATAAAAACAAATAATAAAAATAATTTAAAAAAAACGATAAAACAGATTAAAATTTATTAAAATAGGTTGTAAGATAATGAAAAAGAAATAAAAAACATAATAGTGCTATCTGCTAGACACAGCACAGTGCTAATTCAGTAAAGGCACAGCTAAACAGACAGTTTTCAGTCTTGATTTGAATGTGCCTAATGTTGGAGCACATCTGATCATTTCTGGAAGCTGATTCTAGCAGCGAGGGGCGTAGTTGCTGAAAGCGGATTCATCCTGCTCTTGGAACTCTTTGAACTTCTAGTTTATATGATTCCAAAGATCTGAGTGATCTGTTGGGTTTGTATTCAGTCAGCATATCTGTAATGTATTGAGGTCCTAGGCCATTTAGTGATTTCAAAAGTTCACACTTACTGTAGATATGCTTAGCATTATAGCCGGTTTGGCATGCTGTCCTGGGAGAGAACCCTGAGCTCGGAGATATTTGAGCCCAGGGCTCCCGCCCGGTCAATAAGCATATCAGAGGATCCGATATCAGGAAGGTCTCGATAGTTCTCCCTTTTAGAAAGGGGAGAAAAAGGAGGAGATGGGGTGGGAGGGGGGATTCTTCCGAAATGAAGATTGGGAAAAAGGTTAGAAAGTGATCTATTTATAGTAGGCTAGGATCACTCGGATTAGATTATTACTGATTATGAATGAGTGGCCAGCTGTGCTCAATCATATCACGTGCTCCTCTCGAAAATAGTTTATGAAACTTCACTTATAGACAAGTAGTAATACTTTAAAACCTATTCTGAATGTAACTGGGAGCCAGTGTCAACTCTATATTACATGTCTGTCTGTATCTAAAGTATTATAAGCCATGATTAATGCCAATCAGCTACAAGGTAAACCCCAATATTACAAAAATCTCAAT